TCCTATTTCCTAAATCCTGTGCTTTTGTCTTTCTTCGTTTTGTTTTTGTTTTTAAAAAGTAGGCTCCATCCCAATGTGGGGCTTGAACTCATGATCCAGAGATCAAGACCTGAGCTGAGTTGGAAGCTCAACTGCCTGAACCAATCAGGCGTCCTCTCTTCCTAAGTCTTGTTTTACATTTTGATACATTCTCACCTTCCAAGAGAAGGTGGGCAACAAGTGAATTTTTTTCTGAGGACATGTCTGTCCAAAAATATCTTTACTTTTACTCTCACTTTATTGATAGTTTGGGTATTGAATTCTAGGTTGGAAATTGTTTTCCCTTAGAATTTTGAAGGCTTTGCTTTAGTGTCTTTTAGCTTCTATTGCTGTGCAAGGGAAGCCCAAGGCCATTCTGATTCCTAATCCTTTTGGTGCTGGATACTTTGATGTAATGATAGTTTTTCAGTACTCGTTTTGGATATTTTCATTTAAGATATTTCCTCCACCTCTAATGATCTAAAATTTTTCAGCGTGGCTTCTTTTTAATTAATCATACCAAGCTATACTGTGGGTCCCTTCAATATGAAGATCTATAGACATATAGATATCTTTTCATTTCTGAAAAGTTCTTTTGTGGTTTTTCTTTGTTAATTTCTTTCTTTTTTTTTTTTTTTACGATTTTATTTATTTGACAGAGAGAGAGACAGCGAGAGAGGGAACACAAGCAGTGGGAGTGGGAAAGGGAGAAGCAGGCTCTCTGTCGAGCAAGGAGCCCGATGTGGGGCTCAATCCCAGGACGCTGGGATCATGACCTGAGGCGGAAGGCAGACGCTTAAAGACTGAGCCACCCAGGTGCCCCTTCTTTGTTAATTTCTTCCTGGTGTTTTGTTATTCTCTTTTTCCAGAATAGCTATTTGTCAGATATTGGATTTCCTTGACTGATACTCTAATTTTCTTATTATTTCTCTTTTATTATCCATTGTTTTGATCAACTCTCTGGGAGATTTTCTTCACTTTATCTTCCAAATTTTTATGGGGTGATAGAGCCATGATGTATGTGACCCTCCCTTACATTTTATATCAATGTAGATTATAGGTAGAGACAGATGACAAAGAAAACAAATGACAAAGCAGATAGAGTAAAATGTCTGCCTTGTCTCTTGGTTTTACTTTTTCTTTCTTTCTTTCTTTCTTTTTTTTTTTTGATAGCTTTTATGTCAAAGTTATTCCTTGGATCTTTTACTGCCCTCACACTTAAGAATGAGCTATTAATCAGTTCATTTGAGACTTTGAGGGTATGGAAGCTCTTTGATTTACTTCATTGTAGGCAAGCTTTTAAAACTTATTATTATTATTATTTTTTTATTCATGAGAGACAGAGCGAGAGAGAAAGGCAGAGGGAGAAGCAGGCTCCCAAGGAGCAGGGAGCCCAATGCGGGGCTCGATTCCAGGACCCTGAGATCATGACCTGAGCCGAAGGCAGATGCTTAACCATCTGAGCCACCCAGGCGCCCTTTTAAAACTTATTTTATTCTAATTTAAAAATGTTTAAGGGCGCCTGGGTGGCTCAGTAAGTTAAACCTCTGCCTTCAGCTCAGGTCATGATCACAGGGTCCTGGGATCGAGCCCTGCGTTGGGCTCCCTGCTCAGCGGGAAGCCTGATTTTCCCTCTCCTTCTGCTGTACCCCCTGCTTGTCCTCTCTCTCTCTCTAATAAATAAATACAATCTTTAAAAAATAAAAAATGTTTAATTGTGGTAAAATACACATAATATAAAATTTACCAGCTTAACCATTTTTAAGTGTACAGCTCAGTAGTATTAAGTATATTCACATTGTTGTGCAACCAATCTCCAGGACTCTTTCCCTCTTGCAAAATGGAAATTCAATGTCCGTTAAATAACAACTGTGTATTTCCCCCTTACCCTAGCCCCTGGTAACACACTTACACTTTTCGTCTTTATGAATTTGACTACCTTAGGTATCTCCCATAAGCAGAATTGTACAGTATTTGTCTTTTTGTGACAGGCTTAATTCACTTAGCATAATGTCCTTAAATTTCATCCATATTGTACCAGGTATCAGAATTTACTTCCTTTTTAAGGCTGAATCATATTCCATTGTATGTATTTACCACATTTTGCTTATCCACTCATCTGTCAATGCACACTGGGGTTGCTTTCCTTTTGGCTATCGTGCATAATGCTGTTATGAACGTAGGTGTACAGATATCTCTTTAAGACTATGCCTTCAATTCTTTCGAGTATATACATGGAAGAACTGCTGGGTCATATGGTAATTCCATTTTTAATTTATTGAAGAACCATTATATGGCTTTCTTTCTTTTTTTTAAGATTTTATTTTTTTATTTGACAGAGAGCACAAGTAGGCAGAGAGGCAGGCAGAGGGAGAGAGAGAAGCAGGCTCTCCACTGAGCAGGGAGCCTGACAGGGGGCTTGATCCCAGGACCCTGGGATCACGACCTGAGCCAAAGGCAGATGCCCAACAGACTGAGCCACCCAGGCATCCCCATTATATGGTTCTTCCATGGTGTTTGCCCCATTGTACATTCCTACCAGTAGGGCACAAGGGTTTCAATTTTTCTACATCCTCATCAACACCGAGTATTTTCTATTTTTAAAATTACTATTAGCCATTGTAATGGGTGTAGGCAAGTTGTTTTATGTGTATAGTTTTGGACCCTGCTTTTTGCACAGAAAATGATCTTGGACATTTTTGCATGTCAATGGACATTTTTCTAAACATGATTTTTAATGGCTGTATTTTTTTAAAGATTTTATTTATTTGTGAGAGAGAAAGAGCAAGAGAGAGAGAAAGAGAAAGAGAGAGAGAGCACACGAGCAGGGAGGGCGGAATGGGCAGAGGGAAAGGGGCAGAAGGAGCAGGAGAGGCAGTCTTCCCACTAAGCAGAGAACCGAACATGGGGCTTGATCCCAGGACCCCAGGATCATGACCTGAGCTGAAGGCAGATGCTTAACCGACTAAGCCACCCAGGCGCCCCAATAGCTGTATTATTGAACAGATCCCATAATGTGGTATTTTAATTTGTTTCCAGTAATTTTTAGGGTATAAATCTTTGTGTACATCCCTGATATTTTCTTTAGTTGATAAGGTCCTGGAGGTTGAATTCCTGTGTCAGAGTGTGTATATATATATATATATATATATATATATATATATATATATATATATATATATATATGATTTTATTTATTTACTTGAGAGAGAGAGAACAAGCGGAGGGGAGAGGCACAGAGAGAGGGAGAAGCAGACTCCTTGCTGAGCAGGGAGTCAGACACAGGGCTTGATCCCAGGGATCCGGGATCATGACCCAAGCCGAAGACAGAAGCTCAACCAACTGAGCCACTCAGGAGCCCCTGGAGGGTATATATTTTTGTCATATATATATTGTCTGATTGCTTTCCTGAAAGGTTGCATCAGTATATATTCCTACCAGCAGTGCAAAAGTATCATCTACACTGAATTAATAATTATCAGAAATATTAATTAATTATTTTTATTTTTTTAGATTTTATTTATTTATTTGACAGAGAGAGACACAGCGAGAGAGGGAACACAAGCAGGGGGAGTGGGAGAGGGAGAAGCGGGCTTCCCACTGAGCAGGGAGCCAGACGCAGGGCTGGATCCCAGGACCCTGGGATCATGATCTGAGCTGAAGGCATATGCTTAATGACTGAGCCACCCAGGTGCCCCTAATTAATTAATTATTTTAAAGTAAGCTCTTCACCCAATGTGGGGCTTTAACTTATGACCCTGAGATCAAGAGCCCCACGCTCTACCAACTGAACCAGTCAGGCACCCCTCAGACATTATTTTAATGTATGATCATAAATACAAGGTCAGCAAGAATATACATCAACTGATAACAATGGTTGACTTTGAGAATAGGATGGGTTTTGATGTATGAGTGGTCAAATAAAATGTTGGATTTATTTTTATTGTTTGTATTTTTCAATAAGAATGTAATCATATAATACTTGTATAAAATATTTTAATTTCCTAATTTAAAACAGAAATGAGTGAAATGATACACTTATTTTAGTATGCATGTCTTTTTTACTTTTATTAAAGTTAAACCTTTTTTCATATTTATTATATTTATCCTTTTGTGAAATACCTACTTATTTCATTTGCCTGTTATTATTAGAACTTTTTATACATAAACTCTCTACCATTCATGATATTTTCCCTTTTTCTTGTTAACTTCTAAAGTTTATTTTATTTTCAACTTCCAGGAGTTTAAAAAGTTTTATGTAGGTAGTTATTACATTTGTCCCTCTCTTACTTTACGATTTTTGTCTCATTTTTATACTTAGAAAGTCCTCCATTCTGAGGTCGGATACTCATCTGTGTATCTTTTACTTTGTTTTATGTGTATCTTTGTGTTTAACATTTCACTCTTGAATTCAATTGTAATTTATTTTAGTGTATGTTTTGATAAGGAATCTAACCCAAACGGTTAACTAATCGTCCCAGCACCATTTTAAAAGTAAACCATTCCTGTCTTGGTTGATTTGAAATGCCACGTTTACCAAATAAATTGTTCATGCATTGGATCTGATTCTAGGCTTTTTACTCAGCTTCCGATGGTGTTACTGGGAAGAGTGAGTAGTCATCCAGGAAATGACTTGCTCTGGAGTATTGCTGCTCAGATAATGAACCTTCTGGTTAAAAGGGGTGTACTGAAACAACCAATTTGGAAACGTAAGAGAATGATTTTGTTGGAGTTCTTAAATACTTAAGACAGGGTTGTCATGACTAAACATATTAATCTTGTTTTTGAACACTGCTAATAGGATGTGCAGTCATCATCCAGTTGCAAGGCACAGTTCCAAGGGCCATTCTAAAGAACTCCCTTCCTCCTTGTTGCCACACTCTCATTTCCCTCCGGTCCCAGCTAATTTAAGAAGCCATCAGGTGATGAGTGTGTGTGTGCGCGCGGGGCAGTGGCAGGAGAGGAAGATGGCTTAGTGAGCAAACATGTCCACACTGCCTCGGTTTGCTGTGCCTGCCTGGTGTGGAATCTATAAAGGCCTCTGATGACCATTCTTTTTATTTTATTTTATTTTATTTATTTGACAGAGAGAAACACAGCGAGAGAGGGAACACAAGCAGGGGGAGTGGGAGAGGGAGAAGCAGGCCTCCCGCTGAGCAGGGAGCCCGACGCGGGGCTCGATTCCAGGACCCCGGGATCATGACCCGAACGGAAGGCAGACGCTCAACGACTGAGCCACCCAGGTGCCCCATCTGATGACCATTCTTAAGAAGACTTAAAAGCATGTTTTTCTTTTCCTGCAGTATCCCTCGCGTGCACGGACGGATTCTGAGAAGTTCCTACCCTGCCCCATAGCCGCATTCTATCTGGGGACTGGGTTTGCGCGGTCTCTCAGTAAGGCGCTGCAATGCCCCTCGTGAGCCCGCCGAGTCCGCCAGGGGGCAGCAGAGACCTGGGCGGCCGCAAAAGTAGAGGGCATGCGGCGAAGATGGAGGCAGAGGGAGCGACGCGGAGAGACCAGCTTTGGCGCGTCGAGGTCAGCGTCGCGCTGCCAGCTTGCTTTACGGCTTTCGGCAGATTGCCTTGCGGCTCTTCTCCCCTTCCGACTTGATTTTCGGCTCCTCCTCCTGTCCTTCCCGCCCGCCCTGGGCTCGCTCTCGTTTTGGACCTTCTTCCCAGGGTTCTCTTGCAGTTCCTTCCCAGTCTCCTCTGCGCGGCTCTATCTAAACTCCCTTCCCCTTGCATTTAACCTAGACCGAGCTCCCTGCGTGCACCGCGCGCTGCCCGAGGCGCGTAAGTGGCGGGGTGGGGGGCGGGGGGGCGGCCCAGTTGGGGTGGTTCCGGCCGGGGGCTGTGGGGCGTGGGGCTGCGTAGATTTTGAATAGATCGATTCGGGCGGCGGTTGAGCTCGTCTTGCGGGCTCCCAAAGAGTGATCCTGAGTCCAGGGCCTGTACTAGTTAGTACAGGAGGGGTTCAGGATCAGGGCTTCCTGGGAGGGACGGGAGTGCAGGAGACTTGGACCATCCCGAGACGCCACGACGGGGTGCAGGCGGCGTATTGTTAATTGTGACGGTCCGGTGCACCGGCGCGAGACCTCCCAAACGCTGCTGGTTGACAGGGGTCAAGGGTGCTGGAGTTTGTGTCTGTAGCTAGGCGGAGTTGGGAGGAGTGGCCGCCGTTGGGAAAGAATTACCCATTTCAAAGGAATTTGACGTTCAAGTTTAGCTACATATTTAGCCTTCATAGGTTTTTTTTTTTTAATTGAGATACAATTCATATATGATTAAATTCATCCGTTTAAACGGTTCGAGGGCTGTGCAACCATCACCATTTTCTAGTCCCATAACATTTGTATCACCCCGAAAAGAAACCCACAACTCGTTAGCCGGCGCTTCTCATTTGTCCCTATCCCCTCCCCCCCACTCATCTACTTTTTGTCTCTGAATTTGCCAATTCTAGATAAGTGGAATCCTACGGTTTGTTTTTGTGTGTTGGGCTTATTTCACCTAGTATAACGTTTTCGAGGTTCATCCATGTTGTAGCATTGTCAATACTGCACTCCTTTTTATGGCTGAATAATAATAATCCTTGGTAGGGGTATACCACATTTTGTTGCTCCATTAGTTGATGAGCATTTGGGTTGTTTCTACTTTTGGCTTCCTAGACCTTTTAAGGTCTGAACTCAGTCTGAGACACATTATTTGTTATTTATTATTATTTTAAAGATATTCATTCATTTGAGACACAGCATGAGCAGGGGGAGAGGCAGAGGGAGAGAGAGAAGCAGGCTCCCCCCCGAAGCTAGGAGCTGGATGTGGGGCTCGATCCCAGGACCCTGGGATCATGACCCCAGCCGAAGGCAGACGCTTAACCATCTGAGCCACCCAGGCGCCCCGAGACACATTTTTAAACGAAATTCTCATAAGCCAGCATTTAACTCTGGGACTGGCTCAGGTATTTTAGTGGCCTCAGTTCTGGTATCTTTTAGGGAAAGTTGTCTTTTTAAAGTCGTCTCTTAGACCATTAATTGTAGTAGCTAGCAGAGAAATATTTGTGTTGCTGAGTGATGTGTGCCATGACCTGTTAACCTTGTGATATGAACTGGGTGCAGTTGGAGATGAGTGTATGAAAAATGTAGCTGATAATAGCTGTGGGAGAGAGGTTTTATCTCAAAACCAAATAAAAAAAACCTGTAGTTGATCCTCGTTATTCACAGACTATTTGGGAATGTATCTACCCATAAATTTCTTTGTAACCCCTAAATCAACACTCATGGTGCTTTGAGGTATATTTAGTGTCACATTTTTCTCATTTTTGTACTTTTTGGTAGTGATTTTGCAGTTTGGAATGGCCTCTAAGCATATTGCTGAAATGTTGTTTAGCATTACAAGTGCAAGAAGGCTGTGATGTCTCTTACAAAAAAAAGAAAGCTTCTTTTAGATAGCATTGTTCAGGTATGAGTTATATGCTGCTGGCTATGAGGTTGTTGTTAATGAGCTAATATATATGGAGTGAGGTATCTTTCAGTAGAAACACACATAAAACAAGATTATGTATTGACTAAGAAAATGTTGTGACCAGAGGCTCCCAAGAACCTAACCCTGTGTTTCTCCTAGGAGCAAATGGTTCAGTATTTGATAATTCAGTGTTCATGATGACTTTATAGAACTACCATGAATGAGAATTGACTGCATAACCAATGTAATTATTCAAGGGCAGAAAGCCTAGTGTGGATATTCTTCTATCTCTGTAACTTTTAAAATTTTGCCACTCAAGGTATTCATTTTTAATACCATACTGGCAGTTTTAAAGTGAAGAGAAGCTAAAATAAAAGTAAAATAAAAGCTCTCTATACTAGTGCTAGGTCAGGACTATGTTAAGTGCTGGAGATTCAGTAATTAGTATATGGGCCTTTCTGTTCTTGAATGGCTGAGTGTGGATTATGAGTGTAATGTGTGCTTTGATGTGTGTCTAAAATGCTAGGGAAGGTAGGATTGATTCTGTTTAGAGTGTAACCTGCATAAGGCTTCAAAGAGAAGATGACATTTGAAGTTTCACAAAATGTTACAGCAGCATGTACATAAATGAAAGTAAAAGAAAAAAACTTGATCTCCAATCCTGCTGTTCTTAATCCTTGCAATCAAGATCCTCTCCCGTCACTGAGTTCTGTCGGTTCTGCCCCCTGTAATACATATCCAGAGTCCATTCTTTCTCCGCATGGCCATGATCTTCCTTTATCATTTTCTCTCTGGAGTGTTCTAACAGACTCCTAACTGATCCCTCCCTCAATTATTCACTGTTGACAAAGAGCCTTCTGACACCTGAATATAATCTCATCATTCTCAGCTTAAAATTTCCATTGCTCTCCCAAGGTTTATAATCTAATGTTTCAAGCTTTTTAAGGGGGCTTATATTACCCTTCATGATCATGCCCTGCCTATCCTTTATTTTTTTAATTTAAAGATTTTATTTATTTATTTGACAGAGAGAACATAAGCATGGGGAGCAGGAGAGAGAGAAGCAGGCTCTCCACTGAGCAGAGGGCAGGATGCTGGGCTCGATCCCAGGACTCTGGGATCATGACATGAGCTGAAGGCAGACACTTAACCGATTGAGCCACCCAGGTGCCTCCTGTCCTGTCTTTAGTAAAGATGAGAAAAGGTCAGACAAAAGAGGAAGATTCCCGTATGTAACATGCCTCATTCCCTCTTACTCCTTCCTCCTTCCACTTATAATTAGAAACTCTTTTAGGTGAGAAGGAAGTAGATAAGAATAAAAACATTTTTACAAATCTTGTTGATCTTCTTAATATCTCTTGAATTCATCCATTTCTTGCTCATAGCCCCTGCCTGGTTCAAGCTCTTTCCCTTTCCATCCCACATTTTTTTTTTTTTTTCTTGAGAGGGTGGTGGAGGGGCAAGGGAGAGAGAATCTTAAGCAGGCTCCATGCCCAGCGCAGAGCCCAATGTGGAGCCCAACCGGGGGCTCAATCTCACAACCCTGAGCCAAAATCAACAATCAGAGCTTAACTGACTGAGCCACCTAGGTGCCTCTGTCCCACAAATCTTTTCTTGGTCCTTTGATTTTTTTTCTCTGAGAAAATATCTATCAGAAGAATTCTTGGGTCATATGGCAGGTGCATGTTTAATTTCTAAAGAAATTATCAGTTCTTTTCCAAAATTACAAAACATAAGGCTCCTAGAAGAAAATATAAAAGAATATCTTCATGACCTGGGCGTGTACAGAGGTTTCTTAGACAAGACTTAGAAAGCAGTACCCACTTAAAAAAAAATGTGATTACATCAAATTTAAAACTTCTCATCAAAGATCACTCTAAGAAAATGAATAGGCAAACATCAACACCTACCTAACAAAAGACTGATCTCCAGGGTATAAAAAGAGCCATTAGGGTTCAAGGCCTGGGGATAATCCTCTGTGGCCGGCTGTTCTACCCTCTGAACCTAAGTCATGATTCTTTATTCATGGAGGGTAGCATGTGCTTACAGCTGAATAGTTTTATCATTCTTTTTCCAGCCAACGGTGTATGAGAATTCCAGTAGCTTCACATCCTTGCCAACTTTTGGTGCTGTAGTCTTTATTTTTAGCTATTCTGGAGGGTATGGAGGGGTATGTCATTATGGTTTTAATTTTAGTCCTTGATTACTAATGATGTTGAACACTTTCTGGGCTTGTTGACATTTGGATATCTTCCTTTAAGCACCTGCCCGGATTTTTGACTACTTAAAATTGGGGTTTTTGTCTTTATTATTGAGTTGCAGGAGTTATATCTTTTTTATATCCTGGATATCAGTCTTTTATGGTTGCGTATCCGTTTTCATAGAGTGCTCTTTGATTTTGTATTACATTTTGGTGTAGTCATATTTATCTTTTTTTTTTTATTGTCACTGCTTTCTGAGTCTTGTCTAAGAAATCTTGACCACCTCTAGGATGTGAAGATATAGTTCTATATTTTCTTCTAGAAATTTTATGGTTGTAGCTTTTATATTTAGGCCTATGATCTATCTCTAGTTTTTGTGAATTGTGTGAAAAATACTTTCTGGAAAATATAAAATTTTTTCCCCATATGGATATCCAGTTGTCCCATCATTTGTTGAAAATGCCATTGCATTACATTTGTATCTTTGCAATTCAGATTGCCATTCAGATGACTGTATAAATGGTGGTTAGTTTCTGGGCTTTTTTTTCCTGTTCCACTGATCATTTTTTTTTTTTTAAAGATTTTGTTTATTTGACAGAGAGAGACACAGCGAGAGCAGGAACACAAGCAGGGGGAGTGGGAGAGGGAGAAGCAGGCTTCCCGCGGAGCGGGGAGCCTGATGCAGGGCTCGATCCCAGGACCCTGGGCTCATGACCTGAGCCGAAGGCAGACGCCTAACTTCTGAAGCACCCAGGCGCCCCTCATTTTTTTTTTATTAAAGATTTATTTATCTTAGAGAGAGTGCGTGTAAGAGTAGGGGGAGGGGCAGAAGGAGAGGGAGAGGGAGAGAGTCTCCAGTAGACTCTCCGCTGAGCAC